TAGATAGATAGATAGATAGTGCTTTCAATTATTTGCTTTAAGTTTTTCCCTCTTTTTTTATTAAATTCCTGTCGTATTTTTGGTTTGTTTTAATACAATCAAGCTGATATTTTGGCTAAAACTCTCAGAAAAAAGAGATCTCAATCTCAAGAGACCTCCCAGGTTAAATTAAGTTTAAATAAATACCAAAAATGTGTTAAGAATTGTTCAAAGAGAAAGGAGAAACTTCTTATATAAATTACACTGAAGGGAAATGTACCTGATTTAATTAAATGTCTCATTGTATTCAACCATTAATTATAATTTTTCATTATTTGGCTCATTCTTGCTGAACCCAGTTATTGAATTTAAACACTTCAAACTCTCACCAGCAACACATTTAGAAAATCTAATTGTTTCTTGTCACTCACTTTAAATTGGCTTAATCTGACCTGACTTGAAGCCTAAACGGACAAGCTTAAACATTGTCAAAACTTTAATTGACAAAGAAAACAAAACAGGTCAAACTCTCCTTTAAAATGTGAACATTTTATTAACTGAAACATCTAATAATGTGTTGCTACAACCTAATGGCTGAAACAGAAAACCACACAGCATTTAAGGCCTTCATGACCCCAGTGGTAGTCCCCCACTTGACTCTCTTGACTAATTCAGTTAAAGCAATCAGGTCCATTATAAGGGCCCCTCTCAGGACTTGTCAGTGTTTGATTCCAGGACTTGAAGCTTGAGTGTGTGTGAGTGTGTGTGTGAGTGAGTGAGGAGGAGGGGTGTGTGCTGATGGTTCAGCTGCCTCGTCTGCTATAACCAGCTAATAAATATGAAAACAGCAGGTTAAAACTTTTTTATTCGTCCCGTGCCTGAAAGGATTATACCCTTCTATAGAGTGCCGTGAAAAATCCCCCAAACCTCATAATGCCCAATGTTGTCCCATAAAACTGTGTTGGACAAAAGAAAGAGAAAGGGGGCTTTTTCACGCATAAGGGGTTTTCTCAAGAGCACATTGAGGGGAGCCCAGGCCGGGACCCGCCCATAGATTATCTGGCTGTCGGTGAAAGCACGGCTGGAAGCGGCAGGTGCGTGCGCCAGGCACGGGGGGTCACGGGGGGCCCGGTGACCATGCAGAGGGTGGAGAATGCTACGCAGCTGCCGGCAGGAATGTTTGCAGATTGTCACTTCCATTTAACTTGCTCTTTTTCTTTTCTCTCCTCCCTCCCCACCCCAACCTAGAGATGGAGCTGGTCTCCCAGGTTTCCCCCTCCCACTCCCAAGCCGTGGAGATAGGGGCTAAACGGTGACACCCTGTCCACAAAAGCGACAAGCGGCGCGGGTCGTCCCCGCCTCAGAGCCGTGAAATCGTGGATTAAACTGATAAGCAGCGAGAAAGATACAGATCCCACATTTTTTGAGGGAGGTTTATGGGACTAAATGAATGCCAAGTAACTCATAAGGCAGGGTTAACACACTCTTTAACTCCATCTCACTGTAGTCCCCAGAGGCTTCTTTCATACAGGTTATTGGATTTCAGGTTTTTCCAAAGCGCAGGCATCAACATATGGTGGTCTGTAGATGAAGCTGTTTAATAATGCAGCTCATGAATTTATCTCTGCAACTTTGCCAAAAATTAATCAAATAACACAAAGAATGCAAATTGCACGCCTCGTAAATTCACAAACTAATCTTTTGTCATGTGGCCCTCTCATGGAAGCATCTCCTCTTATCTTAAATTTCATGCATTCAAAATAAAGTCTGCGTTATTACCAGAATTCGTTTATCAAAGAAGATAGTCGTCCCCCATATTGACCCACGTACGCCACGTCGTTGCCTGGAAATGGCCCTCTTTGCGCCACCTTGGTGCTCTAATCTCTGCCGTCCAAACTGTGTCCCTTTTCCAAACTGTGGCCTAAGGCTATGTGTGGGTCCGCGACATAATCCCCCTCAAAACTCTGCAGTCCCTGTTATTCCACTGGGGTTTGGCTAAAAGTGCTACACGTCAAAGCGGCACAACGCTGCTCTTTCACACCATCTTCTCGCAAAAAAGGGATTAATGTCCCCACCATTATGAATAATGAGAATGAATAACAAACAGCCTGTCTGTTTATCCCGCACGGTTAAATAAAGGAAAGTGTGTTCTTGTGCTTTTT